GGTGGAAGGGAAAGGCTCTTTGCCTTTAACATCTGGCAGCCCCTTGCATGGTTTTATCGGCCTGACTCTGCCGACGACATTCAGAAAGTTGAATTGACCCATGATTTGACGTCCCCTTGAACAGATGCGTCTGGAAAACGTTGGTTCAGAAAGGTGCCGGACAAGCCGATGGACTAGGAACTGAATATAATTCATTGTTAATTCGTGAGACATAGACTCGTCTTTTTAGCTAACACATTCCTGCGGAGGGAGCTGCTAGGAACGTTGGGTTGCTCGGTCAATGGCCAGTGTCAACGGCGGCGTGGTGTATTCCGCAAATATGCCCGACTGTGAGGGCGGGCACAAGCTGGCGTGAGTAGGTTAAACGTTGAGTTTTATAAGGGCACCACGGGGTGACCAGCCCCTCCCCACCCAGCCCCACCCCACCCAGCCCCACCCACCCCCCACCCAGCCCCACCCCCCACCCAGCCCCTTTCTACCCTCCCCACCCAGCCCTTCCCCTCTCCACCCAGCCCCACCCAGCCCCACCCACCCCCCACCCAGCCCCACCCTCCCCACCCAGCCCCTCCCCACCCAGCCTCTCCCCACCCTCCCCTCCCCACCCAGCCCCACCCTCCCCACCCAGCCCCTCCCCACCCAGCCCCTCCCTCCCCACCCAGCCCCTCCCTGCACGATGGACAGACAGACACAATAATCCCCTGTGGGCTGGTGGAACCAGTGGGTTCCTACCAGTAATACTGCATTTATTTAGTACACAATGTTGCTGTATTTAAATTCTAATTTACGTTCTATATGAGGTTGGGGCACAGGGGAGGGTGGCACAATCGTTTACACTTGCACTCTAAGCCCAGTGACCTATGTTAGATTCCCAACCATGGCTCACATCAATGTTGAGTGATATCTGAGCCGTTCCTAGAGCCGCCTTTTAACCATCTCGCACTTACCAGTGTGGCGATATACAACCACCACCAGCAGCAGTGGATTGACAAAGGACTGAAAATTCTAAGAGGCTTGTCCTGGCATGGTTAATGCGGAGACGCATCTGTGCTGCGTTGGGCATTCAGATACACAAGTCGTGCATGGGTTTGAGAATTGCCTTGTTGTGAGTGTGGAGGCTGTGTGTTGTGAGTGTGGTGGCTGTGTGTTGTGAGCGTGGTGGCTGTGTGTTGTGAGTGTGGTGGCTGTGTGTTGTGAGCGTGGTGGCTGTGTGTTGTGAGTGTGGTGGCTGTGTGTTGTGAGTGTGGTGGCTGTGTGTTGTGAGTGTGGTGGCTGTGTGTTGTGAGTGTGGTGGCTGTGTGTTGTGAGCGTGGAGGCTGTGTGTTGTGAGCGTGGTGGCTGTGTGTTGTGAGCGTGGTGGCTGTGTGTTGTGAGTGTGGTGGCTGTGTGTTGTGAGCGTGGTGGCTGTGTGTTGTGAGCGTGGAGGCTGTGTGTTGTGAGTGTGGTGGCTGTGTGTTGTGAGCGTGGTGGCTGTGTGTTGTGAGCGTGGTGGCTGTGTGTTGTGAGTGTGGTGGCTGTGTGTTGTGAGCGTGGAGGCTGTGTGTTGTGAGCGTGGTGGCTGTGTGTTGTGAGCGTGGTGGCTGTGTGTTGTGAGTGTGGAGGCTGTGTGTTGTGAGTGTGGTGGCTGTGTGTTGTGAGTGTGGTGGCTGTGTGTTGTGAGCGTGGAGGCTGTGTGTTGTGAGCGTGGTGGCTGTGTGTTGTGAGTGTGGAGGCTGTGTGTTGTGAGTGTGGTGGCTGTGTGTTGTGAGTGTGGTGGCTGTGTGTTGTGAGTGTGGTGGCTGTGTGTTGTGAGCGTGGTGGCTGTGTGTTGTGAGCGTGGTGGCTGTGTGTTGTGAGCGTGGAGGCTGTGTGTTGTGAGTGTGGTGGCTGTGTGTTGTGAGCGTGGTGGCTGTGTGTTGTGAGTGTGGTGGCTGTGTGTTGTGAGTGTGGTGGCTGTGTGTTGTGAGTGTGGTGGCTGTGTGTTGTGAGTGTGGTGGCTGTGTGTTGTGAGTGTGGTGGCTGTGTGTTGTGAGTGTGGTGGCTGTGTGTTGTGAGCGTGGTGGCTGTGTGTTGTGAGTGTGGAGGCTGTGTGTTGTGAGTGTGGTGGCTGTGTGTTGTGAGTGTGGTGGCTGTGTGTTGTGAGTGTGGTGGCTGTGTGTTGTGAGCGTGGTGGCTGTGTGTTGTGAGCGTGGTGGCTGTGTGTTGTGAGTGTGGAGGCTTTGAGAATTGCCGGTGCTGTGGGCGGGAGACTGTGCCGAGGGGGGAAAAAGGGAGCCGACGTAATCCTGGAATTAAACCTCTTTTGTCCGTGAGAAAAGTGTCTGGGAATGACTTGAAACCACCCTTGTAATTACGTTCTACTATTACGCAAAGTTTGAACGACCGAGGCGGGGAGAGGGCAAGGGAGTTCCAAACTCAAGTTCTGCTGGGGGATGAAAAGTGAAGCGGCCGCCCGAATCCGTTCAAACAAATCACGATTCTCCCGGCCGGAAACCCACCAGAAACTTTTATCGGAATGTTTTTTTTTCTTAATCCTGGAGAAATCCGATGAGCTCTGAAGCGCTTTGTCACATGTGTCTGCCCAGTTTACAGGTGCCCGGTATTCTCGCCACATTCCGCCGGGCGTTGCTGTTATTGCCATCGAGAGCAAACAGTGGAACCTCGTGGATTCCGTCACCAGGGCCCAACGTACTGCTACTACCACCACCCCCCTTGTCTTGCACCCCCTTCTTTACACCCCCTCTTTACACCACCCTACATACCCAACAATCAAATCTGTACATGACAAGAAACACAGTCATGGAAAAATAGTGCCGGCCGGTAAACCATCAATCCATCCATCAGTGTTCGTTTATACAGTATATATATAAATATAAAATAGGAACATTTCAGAAAGTGTGTCAAAGTGCTCGTGCACAAAGGGTAAAAGCGAATAATTATATCACGCGTTTAAAATATATTGGCTAAACATACGTTTCTTACGGTGCACGCAAACACGTGTAAAAAAAATCGCTCCACCTTTGTACGTTACGTCTTATGTGACAATCAAAATAAATTTGAGCAAATTTTGACCGACAGACAGCAGCAGCAGCGGCGATGCAGAGGTAGGCAACTGAAGACCGGCTTTGTTATTATTAGGACTCATCAGTAGCACAGGATTGACAACAATGCTCGCTGCTGCTGCGAAGTCCACCTCTGGAAACCTCCCAATGTGGAGGCTTCACTTCAACACGATGGGTCTTATCAGCCTGGCCCATGCCAATGCCAATCAAATGTGTAAATAGCGATAAAAGCCCGTAACGGAAACTTCACAAAACACCTCGTAACACCTCCAAAACCTAGCCCCTCCTCCCCCACCTCCCTTCTAAATTCTTACAAAGTAGTTAAGTCAAACATTTTTATGCATAAAAGGTGTTTTTATCTTAGATCGCGTCAATATAAATGTGTCGTTAAACCCGCCACCACCCGACACAGCCAATTAGTAAGGTTTGTCACGTAAACAGAACATGCCAATTCGTTACTAGTACAGCACACCGGTGTGTTGGAGAGAAAACCCACAACATTTACAATTTGAGCACGACATTTCGCTCGTAATTACAACAACCAGCATCATCAGGCGACAGCCAGAGTTGAGGAGAAATCCTCCTCCCGTTTCGGTCTTAAAAGAATGTTGGTACAGTATTTAAAAACGACTCCCCTCTCTCTCTGTCTTCTCTCTTTAGGCTTTCAGAATCAGAATACATGTATGTATTCATAGTGGAGGAATCCGATGAGCGATAAAGCTCTTTTTCACACATGTCCAGTAGGTGCGGGTAAGAACGCTACGACAACAAAAAGAGTACGAAAACACGGTAGGAGTGAAAAGTACAATGAAGGTAACACAAATCGTCCAAACACAAACAAACACAACAACTAAACCATCCCCATCCTGCCAGGCAAAGCCCACTGAGGTATTAATTAAGTTTTCAGAACCTACCTGGCCACAAATGATAGCTCAAAGTGGCCCATCATTTGGACATTTATAGCACCAAAATAATCCCATCGTTTAAGGATGCCCTATACATCTAAACTATTGTAAATATTTCACTCCAGGAAAAAATTAAGTGCCACAGCCGTTGCTCATATTCTGTACACGTTGGGGTTGGGATCCTATCCAGAGCAGAATGCACGCCAGACAAAATCAGATCCGGATCGCCACTCATTTCGCTGAGCGCTTGACATTCGTTTAAAGTTCGTTTAACATTGACCGTGTTGTAGATGCGCTGCCCCCCCCCCCGGAGTTTTTGTATGCCCCCCTTTAAGCAAGGTCACACTACAGGCTCCACATGATTCTCAGATGGAACAAGGCTCCCTGAGGGGGTACATTTGGGGGGAGGGTGGGTGGCAGCACGCTGGCTCCGAACATATTTTGCGTCTCCTTTGTTATTGGCAAAGCCATCTGTTCCAAATGCTTCTCGTGTCTTGGGGGTCATACGGGGGGAGATGCAGAGTTGTCGCGTGTGGGGATGCTGGCTGTGGATGTGGCCGTTATTGTTGTTGACGGTGTTGGTACGAGTTGCGGGGTAAAGGTTGCAGCGGTGGCGATTGGGGTTGTAATTGATGGTTGTTGTAGTTGGCGAGAGTTGTGTGCGTTAAAGACGACATTGTTTGGGGTTTGCTGTTGTAGTGATGGGGCTTTTTTTTTCTCGCGAAATCACGGTTGCTCAGCACAGGCCCAAGCGCCTGGCACGCCAAGTGGCCAGCACCAAACAGCACTTTGGAGGTGTTACGGATAAGGAGTCAAATACGCTCCTTGTGGTTGAGCAACGTTATCAGAACTTGGGGGTGGTGGGCAATAGGCGACGGGGAGTGAGGCAGCGAGAGCAGCGTTGTGTTTGCGGCGTTGTGTTGCCCTGTGCTTATCCGAGGTAGGATGTTTCTGTCGAAGGTTGCAGTGGGGACGCTTGTTTGTTGTGGATTCTGGGTTGTCACGGCTGTTGGAATTCACATGAGAACATGCGTTGCTGTGGTGAGGGAAGGAGGGAGAACGCCGGCATTAAAAAAAATGTTGCTTAGTTTTCAGTTTAAAAAAAAAAATTCACTTATTATTGGTGCTGCTCCGGGCCAGCGCCGCTGCGCTCTGTTTTCATGGATTGTAACAGCGAGATCTCCTCTGTTGTGAAATAGCGGATTCCTTTTCAGCGCTGCCAAGAGTGATGTCATAACAGTCATTTGGCGGTTGGGTAATTGCCGTGAAAAAAAAATAACCGGTCTTTAGAAACTCGTGCGAGCTCGAGCAGCTCCATCTCTCGCTCTCAGCAGCCGCCCCCTTGTCTGCTTGCCCGCTCGCCCCATTTCTCCTCCGCAGGGTGATGCCTAACACTGCGTGGAAGCCACAGAAGTCTACCCCCACGGCCTCTAAGTGGTGGCACCAGCTTCCTCCTCCGCCCCCACTTCCTCCTCCAACTTCACGATCCGCAAGCGCTTGTGCCCGGCGTCTCCCCGAGCTGCCTTCCTGCAACCGGCTGCCGTCGCTGCCCTGCCCTCGCGGCGGCTCCTAATCTCGATCGCCCCCCTCCCGCTGCCGGCGGCTCGCGGTCGCGGCGACCATGATGAACATGCTGAAGCCCAGTGGCCTCAAGGCGCCCAACAAGGTCGGCCGCTCCGGCTTCTCCTTCGGCCGCTCTCCCTCCTCTTCCTCCTCGTCCTCCGCGGGTGAGTGCGGCTCGGGGAGGTTGATCTCTAAGTCGGTTGCTGTCAATCGTTATTGATAGTCATCGACCGCACGCCTTGCGTTCAGTTGCTTAGAGGCAGGAGTCGGTGGATTCATGAGATGTTTGTGGATCTCTCAAAGATCCGCCGGGCTTTTACGGTGTCCAGGAGATGGCAGTGTAGTAAGTGGGATTGTGTGACCCATCTTTGTGGACGCTTGCATACTCTCTAGCAAGGTTGTTTCATCATCATTAAAAATTAATTATACCATGCCTCCCATGCAGTATGCCTCGAGGTGCCAGAACAAAGGGGAATTTGAGATCATTACTCGGGAAGTGATTGTAAACCATTTCTACGTTTAAAAAATAATCTGGTATCGACAAGGTACACAACAAACGCTGTTGAGGTCACTCCATTTCATCCACTTCATTTCAGTTTCTGGGTGTGCTGATGCTCGCTTGCAATCCATCGCTTTGGGAGCAAGGGTTGATGGATCCTGCACACGACAGCTGCCTCGACAGCCCGGGTCCGGGATTTTCTAAACTCCACCAACATTCAGCGCCCGTGACCAAATAATTTGTAATCTGTTCGATCCCGTCGGATCTCAGAAGCTGAGCAGGGTCGAGTTTGGATAGCTCTTGGATGGGCAACCACTGCCCAAGCCAGGTTGTTATCGGTGACACCGGGGTTATGCCACGCCGTGAACAGCGGGGGCCAGTGCAGCAATATCATTCGCTGTGCTGCACTTCTATGCTCCCCCGCCTCCTTCTCCAATGTGCACTGGCCAGCACGGTGAAGTACGCTCAAATAACCCCCACCTCCCCCCACCCCCCACAATCCGCACGCGTGCGGCGTGGGGAGGCCTTCATCCAGCAGTGGATTTACAAAAGGGCTGTACATTGTTCATCACTCTATGTATGCTGAACTTCTTTCGCACCGTAACATAGCCAGCCAACCGTGCTAATCGGAGGTGAGGGGGGGAAGGGTAACGCTCCAAATACAAAAGGGGCAGTTCAAAATCAATCTCGACTGTAGCGGTGGCTAGGGAATTGTGGGGTGAAAAACGGGGCCCCCACATTCATGATTATTCCGGAGCGACCACATCATTTGATTGGAATCAATCGCAAAGCCATCAGACAGCGCCCGTTTATGGCCAGGGGGACAGAGTGCCGCACTGACGCATTCCGCCCCTCGAGGCGGAATTGAAGTCACCGCGCGCAGATCGTGGTTGGTGGGGTGAGCCGGGGTGGTGAGGCAGGGTGGTGATGGGGTCAGAGAGTTCAACCCCTCTGGCCATGTGAGCCAACAACAACAACTACTGTACTCTCTATTAATGTGTAGAACACAACTGGGCTGTCTGATTATTTAGATTATTTTGCTGCTGTAAAAGTCCAAATGATGGGCCACTTTGTTGAGCTATCATTTGTGGTGGTTAGGTCGCTTTTGAAAAATAAGTTAATACCTCCGTGGGCTTTGTTTGGTAGGATGGGGATGGTTTAGTTGTTGTATTTGTATGTGTTTGGGTGATTTGTTTACCTTTCTTGTACTTTACACTCCGTGTTTTTGTATTGTTTGTTGGTGTAACGTTCTTACCCAGCCCTACTGGACATCTGTGTGAAGAAGCTTTATCGCTCATCGGATTCCTTAAGTCTAAATAAATATTCTGATTTAAATACAGCAATCGGCTGCCATATCAATCACCAGTGACTGTACACACATGTCTTATAAAATTTTGTTTTACATTTGGTTTGGCTACATTTGATCTCGAAGAATTGAAAATATCAGTTTGAGTGTCATACAACGACAGTATTCTGCCGTCTTTCATGTAGGAAAGTGCTGCCACCCCGGTGTCGATACGAGGTCACTTCACTGAACGGGATCTCAGAAGTAGGTCTGTGATATCAGATTCTGTGGAGCATCCTCTAGCACAAAGGAGCACTGCTCTGCGCAATTTCTCAATTGATTCTTTGTCTAAGGACACGACGACGATGGCACAATTCCAATAATATTTGGGATGAAGACGACAAAAACTTTCTTTCAAAATCTATCTCTAACAAAGCCCTCGAGGCTCTGCTTCTTTCATCTCAAAAAGATAAAAGTGGCAGAAAACCGGGTCGTCTTTTAAATTGGTTCCGCCAGGAATCTAGGTCAGGGTTCGCCAATTTGGCTTCGCAAATTCCATGCGGCGATGGCACGACCCGTGGCCAAATCTACACCATGGCATTAGGGGGACCGGCGCGGCGGTGCTTGCGCCGGCCCGCTCAATCCGGCGCTGTGATCCTGCCTCGACAGGATTAATCCTCGGGCTCGTAATCCCGATGGGATCAGCATGTCCAGCGGCCCGGGGAATTCCGGGGGGCCCACACGTGGCCTCTCCAAGCCGCTCGCTGCGGTCGCCACGTCGCGAGCTTTCCATCGCACTGCCGTTTAAACCGCCCGATGGCTCTAGATTTTACTTGCGTTTTTATCTTTGTTGATACCCTTCACGAAAATCTGTCTGGATTTGGACCCCCCCCCCCCCAAAAAAAACCTCATTTAAAATCTCAAACATCGACATGCTTGGCATAAAAAATATCTAGGTATTTGTGATTTACGAATTTGTATGATTGAAATGTTTCCTACGCCACGGTGAAGACAGCTCTGAATAATAAACAGAGCACCACCGCCTCTCGGGGCCAAACTAGGTCATGTTTACTGACCGTTTAATTAATTCTAGGGAGGTTGCATTTATCAGTCGGTGTATTCAGGATTTCGCCAAAATATTAAAATGATTATTCGGTTGTAGCGGTGACTGCCGCTGCTTGTTATCATTATTATTGATGCTGTTGAGCGTCCATTGCGCTGGTTGTGGTCGTTATTGAACATTTATCACCAGGGACACTACCAAAAGACAATAAAGCACTCTATTTGATTCGCTTTACCAATCACTATTTCCTTCAAATATGTGTCTAGTTACCTTAATGTAGGCCCATTCACTTACATAGTGGTCTATTCAAATCGTATAGAAGCATGTTCACTTTCCTCCCTGACTGTTCGATTTAACAAAGGTCTTCTCACTTTCATAGAGAGTGCTATTGCAACTAAAGAAATACTAATTCAGTCAAGTAAGTGTCTCTACCCCTCAAATGAGCATGCACCACTGCTCATCTCCTTCGATGACCCTACGCCAGCTGTGGAAAGTCCACGTTCCTCTGGTGGGGGGCAGGGGGGATTCCCATGTTCTCCACCAGAACCACCATTATTATTGCATCTTCCTCCAAGACGTCGATCGTTCTCTCCCTCGATGACGTTCAACGTCCCTTTCTCTCGCTCCCGCGCAGCTGCAGCCACGGCCCCTGCTGCTGCTGCCACTGCCACCACCGTCTGTGCCGCAGCTGCAACGCCGGCGTCGCCAACGACGACGATGAGCGGCACCTCTGCCAAACCGCCGGCGGCGGGGCACGTCCCGGGCACGTCGAGCCCCACGCACACCGACTCGACTCGCGCCAAACTCAGCAAGGCCGGTGGGCACTGACTGCGGGCGAGGCAGGGGGGTGGTGGGGGGGGAACACGCAGGGGACGGTTGGATTGGTGGGCGAATGGGCACAGATATTTGTGGCGGAGAATCGGCCATCACGCTATTGCGGTTGTTGTTGGTGTTGTTGATCGACTGGTTGGTTGGTTGATTCCCAGGATGTGCAAGGTTGAGTGGAAATGCCACTCAATGTTATCCACACCGTGCTGTCAGCCTCAAGTCATGGGACAATTAAACCGTTTGGAACCCTGTGTGTAATGGGAAGATTCACAGAAGTAGATGTCGCAGAACTGCTACTGAGATCACTTCAGGTCACCTCCAGTCGACAGTAGGGGGGCAGCACTTTTCCACTCCTGCTGCTACTGAGAGGAATGTACGTCACGTAACAGTCAAACTGATACTTTTAGCAATCTTAAGAGCTGGAATTTCAACCAATTTATTTGCCAATCCCAATTTTACGTGATGGGTTTTGTGCAGTTATTAGTGACCGAGCTGGGACAATCGTCGCGGGGTGAATGATGGGCTGAATCGATCCCCGTATTTCTTGTCATTCAGCTGCTCGGACGATCACGCCGAGCAGGCAAATTTATAAACAACCAGCTCGCGTTGTTGTTGTTGTTGTTTTCTTCTGCCTGTCGGTGGCGTGCTTTTCACCGTGAGCAATCGTGTGGGGGGTTTTTTTGTTCGCTTTCAAATCGATAATATTGAGCAAGTCTGAATTTGCGAGCTGCCGCCCATGAAATTAGGCGTGGCGTGCGAGCCTTTTTTAGCGAACGCAGTGTACAGCGTTGACGGCCGAGGTCACGTGGCGATCGCGTTGACAAACGCACGATTGAATCGTTTTCCGCAGGAGGGAGGAGCTGCCCGGCAAACGTGGAACTGTTGGGCCAACGTTGGGGCAACATTCGGCTAACATTGCACGTTTACTGGGTGGCCGGCCTGTGGACGAGGGTTGGAGTTGAGGGCGGTTTGGTTGCCGGCTCGTTGGGGGGCGTCTATTGGTTGGCGAAGAGGAGGAGGAGGTGGGGGGGGCACATGAGGGCTTTAAAAGCGCGACACCAAGGCCGGAGCGGCTCGCATGCGGCAGCTGCGTCTGCCGGAGCCATCGCGCAATGACCACCACTGACCCGCGTGGTGAAGTATGGTCAAGCAATGCCCTGCCCGTTCATCCACCCCTGGATTGACAAAGGAGGCTGTCAATCGTTATTAATATTATTTTTAATGAGGCCATTTAAAGGAGAGCTTCGATTAGGCACTTTTGCACAATTAAGCCAAATTGAAACCAAAAATTTCAATTGGCAGTTGAACTCGGCTGGCCTCCCGCTGTAGAGGCGGTCGCCAAGGGAACTTATGAAAGGGTGTTTGAGTGCCCTTCGGTTTATTGGCCGTTACGTGGCGTCAGGATGTAGCTGCGCTGCTGCCAGTGTGGTGGTGACGGGTGATGTAACGGAGCCAAAATGTTTTTTTCTCGACCCTAGCACCCACTGACGACGGAGGTAACGTGGCTCGTCCCACAAGCATTTACTTCGTGAGCAAATATTCACCCATTGAATATTTGCAATAGTAATTGCATTGTTTGAAAAGTGTTTTGTGTGTTATGTTCGTAGAGTATTATAATTATTTGATAATCGTGTTAGCTTGTCACCTAACCTGGCATATTTCCAGCTGCTAGGATTACAAACGTGCCCGTTTGGATTCACGCGGCATGCACTTTTGTAGCGGGGCCTGTGAATGAGAAGGAGCAGTGCCACTCTTAGCGTGGATAAGAGGCGATTGAAGGGACCTCAGAAGTAGTTCTATGACGTCAACTTCCATAGAGGTATTTGTCTAACACTGGGGCAGCGGCGGAGGGGGGGGATGTTACACTGCTCGACAAGAATGTCAAATGCAAACGTGCATCGTCCCGTGGCGTGACGGTGATAGCACGGTTACGAGACCATCGTGTAACTGGGAGAAAGAACAAGCTACGTTTTTCTCAATAGCGCATGCAGGAGGTGATTTCTAGGTAAAAACATTGTCTCTGCTCTGTATTCGTTCGCAACGCACACCTACTTTTCTGTCCAATGCGTTCCACATCGTTTACAGAATTGTTAGCACTGGTCATCAATCGTTTCCTCGCTTTTGTTATTAAATTCCTTCTCGCGAAACTGTAATTTCCTTATTTCGTCTCTGACCCGCGTTCCCGTCGCCGCGACCCCGCGACCCCCACGGCAGACTCGGAGGAGCGTGATGCATTTATCGACGACTTCATCATCGGCGAGCGCGTTTGGGTGAACGGCAGCAAGCCTGGCCACATCCAGTACCTGGGCGAGACACAGTTCGCACCGGGCCAGTGGGCCGGCATTGTCCTGGACGAGGCCACGGGCAAAAACGACGGCGCCGTCTCCGGCGTGCGGTACTTCATGTGCGAGGCCGGGCGCGGCATCTTCACGCGGCCCTCCAAGCTGTCGCGCCGCCCGCTGGCGCCGGGGTCGGCGGTCGACGGGCGCTGCGCGTCTCCCGCAGCGACGCCCCCGCTGCACGGACAGGCGTCGGTGGGCGGAGGTGAGCTCTAGCGACGTGGCGGGAGTGGGGGAGGGGTGGGAAAAAGCAATATACAAACGAGGCGGTAATTCATAATAGAGGAGGTTTTTGTGTTAGATCGCGTAAATATAAATGTGCCGTTAAACCCGCCACCACCCAACACAGCCAATTAGGAAGGTTTTTCACGTTAAAAAAAGTTACTAGTTCAGTGCACCGGTGTGTTGGAGAGTAAACCCTACAGCAATATTGGAATTGTAAATGTTGTGGGTTTACTCTCCAATACATCAATGTGCTGTACTAGTAACGAATTGTAATGTTTTGTTTACGTGACAAACCTTACTAATTGGCTACGTCGGATGGTGGCGGGTTTAACGACACATTTATATTCACGCAATCTCACCCAAAAACCTCTTATGGATAATATTGATCACGAAAGCCTATGCGTTAAACCGAGGCGGTAATTACGAGACAAAAACAATCAGATTCTTGAAATCGAATGTTGACCCCCGGTCATGAAGTTGCATTGAATCTCTTGGGGGGCACAATTTCGATTTATACGGCATCTAAATGTCTCAACTAAGCTGTACACGTCACCCACGACCGGACATCCCGAGTCGGATTTACCAGCCTCCTCAACCCGGAGCTACGAGCCACCGCTTGCAGCCGAAAAAATTACATTGAAGGCCGTTGTGGGTTTCTAAGTGTGATCGCCACCGCGTGGTTTTGTCGTTTGTGTGTTTTTTGTTTTTTTACGAGAGGCGTAGGAGCCCGCTCCAGCTCCACGACGCCGCTCACCACGCCGCGTTCCTCCTGCTCCGCCCTCTCCTCGCGCGACGCCGGGCTCCTCTCCTCCTCCTCCAACGTCGCCGCAGCCGCCGCCGCCACCGCCGCCGCCGGCGCCGCCGCGGCTGCGGCGTCGGGCCCTTCCAACCTGGCGCGCACCGGCAGCCAATCGGTGGGGAACCTGTCGGAGAGCGGCTCCGCCAAGAGGGCGGAGCGCGACCTCAAGATGGGAGACCGTGTGCTGGTAAGCGCACTCCTCGTGCCGCTGCCGGGCCCAGCCTGTCTCTGTCGGCCTCTGTCTGTTGCCGTCTCTCCGTCCGTCTCTGTCCACCTGTCTCTATCCTGCCCCGACCTGTCTCTCTGTCGGGCACCGTTTGTCTCTCTGTCTCTGTCGGGCACCGTCCGTCTCTCAGTCTCTGTCTCCCGCTGTCTCTAAGTGTGTCCCTCTCTGCCCCTGTCTGTGGCTGTCTGTCCACCGTCGTGGCTGTCCGTGCTATTTGCTGTAGACCCAGAATGTCGTCTCTGCCGGATCCGCGGTGCTCCCCTGTCGGTCAGCTTTAGGGGCAAAGCGTGCATCGCACAATGGCGGATCGCTTACGTGAGGGTTTCTTCAACTGGCGGGCCGGTGGGCCACGCCTGGCCCACGGGGGGCCCTCGGAGGAGTGGTCTGCTAAAACCTTGACCTGCCGAGAGATACAGCTCAAAAAGAATTCGAGATAAGATGTTTGCAGAGAAGAGAGATACGGATTATCCAGATGAAAGCAAATAAACAGGAGATAAATACAGGAGAGCTGTAGACAAGAGGCAAGCTGTACCGCGCTGAGATAAGAGAGAGACCTGGAGATAAGAAGGTATGGGGTCGGTGGTTACATGCACATATGTTACAATGTGACGACGTGATGTGACGTCATGCCGATGAGCCAGCATAGTGTGACACTCCCAATCTGATGGCAGTACAGCAAGTAGGTGGCCGACCTATCCGGCCAGATTATGTTTGGAACGATATCCCCTTAGTACGTGTGGGGTTTCCCCAGGTACTGTACTTCTCTCCGACATGCAAACTCAGACAAAAATGCGGTCGCCAAACGGCACAAGTGAAAATTCCTCTTGAAAATGTATCTTGAGGGCTTTTCTGAGTGAGTGAATAAATTGCCATCCAAATAGCCGGTCGGTGGCAGTGCACGCCTCTGATTTAACGCTTCATGCGAAAGGGTTGGCGGATCACGCTCATCGCTCGCAAGAGTGAATTGCGCTATCTCAGGTTGACTGCGATTGAAGCAGAATCAGAATATTTATTTATGCTGGAAGAATCCGATGAGCTTTCAAGCTGTTTTTTTCACAGATATTCAGTCGGGAAACGGGGGTCCTAAATCTTACAACAACAACAGCAAACAATATAAAAACCCGATAGGAAAGGTAAACAAATCACTTACAAAAAATACATACGAACAAAACGAGGCGAGGCGGCCGCTCCGTTGGGAAGCACGAGGCGGCCACGTTGCAAGCGGAGGTAATTCCCGGACTTCGTGTTTTGGTCCGTTTGCATCCCGCGCACCCTGGGGAATTCAATCCCATCTCGCGCTCAACCAGCGGATGCATTTGCCGGCGTCCACTCCCCGCCCGGAGAGATCTCGCCGAGTGTCTCTTTTGGCCTCGTTCCCATCGGTAATGCGATGCTGTGGCCGGTAGCGCGCCGTCTGCATGTGCGTAACGACGCCGCCGCCGCCGCCGCCCCTTCCGGCGCAGCTCCGGTTATGCTGCGTAATTGTTACACGCCGCTCCGCTGCAGGGTTCTCGCCGCCCGCGAGTTCCGGCCTTGTTTATAAAAACCGCCCGCGGGGCGCGGTCCGCAGCGCACATGCGAGCGAGCAGTCGCGAGAGATGGACACTTCGAGCCGTGCCGCCTTTGAGGCCTCGGCCAGCGCCCAGGGCCCGCGCGGGTTCACGCGTCTCTCTGGTTAGCGGCGGCGGTGGCTGCGGTGAGTTAGAGTGGTGGTGGGTTTTTTTCGTCTAAATATGATAAAGGTAAGTGCACAGTCATTTTTGACGTTTAATTTCATCCATTGGCTGTTTGTTTTTACTTATGTTCATGTGGTTTGTGAGCAGCAGAGGGCAGTAGAGTGAGATGAGAGGGGAGAGGTAGGAGAGTGCATGGAGGGGAGTAGAGTGAGATGAGAGGGGATAGGTAGGAGAGTGCGTGGAGGGGAGTGGAGTGAGATGAGTGGGGAGAGGTAGGAGAGTGCGTGGAGGGGAGTGGAGCGAGATGAGTGGGGAGAGGCAGGAGAGTGCGTGGAGGGGAGTGGAGCGAGATGAGTGGGGAGAGGTAGGAGAGTGCATGGTGGGGAGTAGAGTGAGATGAGAGGGGAGAGGTAGGGGAGTGCGTGGAGGGGAGTAGAGTGAGATGAGAGGGGAGAGGTAGGGGAGTGCGTGGAGCGGAGTAGAGTGAGATGAGAGGGGAGAGGTAGGAGAGTGCGTGGAGGGGAGTGGAGCAGGATGAGAGGGGAGAGGTAGGAGAGTGCGTGGAGGGGAGTAGAGTGAGATGAGAGGGGAGAGGTAGGAGAGTGCATGGATGGGAGTGGAGCAGGATTAGAGGGGAGAGGTAGGAGAGTGCGTGGAGGGGAGTAGAGTGAGATGAGAGGGGAGAGGTAGGAGAGTGCATGGAGGGGAGTGGAACGAGATGAGTGGGGAGAGGTAGGAGAGTGCATGGAGGGGAGTGGAGCGAGATGAGTGGGGAGAGGTAGGAGAGTGCATGGAGGGGAGTAGAGTGAGATGAGTGGGGAGAGGAAGGAGAGTGCATGGAGGGGAGTGGAGCGAGATGAGTGGGGAGAGGTAGGAGAGTGCATGGTGGGGAGCTATTTTATGCCGTGCTGTCGCTCCGATGCTGTCACTTTGGGCGTCAAATTCGAGAGACAGGGGCTGCGAGAACAGTGGCTGAACAACCACAACAAAATGTATATGGCCAAAACAAAAACATTGCCAACTTAATATTCTATGGGGAACTAATTGCCGTTAATCAATTGGATTCTGCTTGTAAAACTGGCGTTTTTTTATTATTTAGTTTTTCAGCACCACGGGTCTCATTAATCTGGATAACCGCTGGTTCAAAAGTCACCACTAATGGTGGGCGGCGGTTGGAGCCGTAGTGCCGTGCCACCGGCTTGGATTTCCCCGCTGCCGTTGTCACAGCAACGCGAGCCGCACACGCTTCAATTTTAATCCTCGCCGTGAAATAAAATCTAATCTTCTCGTGCCGGAATCCGCACGATTCGTGATCCTGAGCAGAGAGAGGCTGGGAGAGGGGATGTCTCAATTCAGAGAGAATCTCTCAGTGTAGAGGGATTCTGTTAACCGACCTTCAGGATCGGTCAATCAATGAGAAATCTCAATCCATAGAGATTCTCTCAGTCCAGATAGAATCTCTCAGTCTAGAGGGATTCTGTTATGCCAGGTACAACCAAAGGGATATTTCTCAACAACCCACGCCGACAACAGCATTTTTATAACATTCCAACCGTGACGAATTCCTCCAATTCCTAGTGAAGAGCGACCGCCGCCACTTCGCGCGTCGCATCGCCCGCCGCGTCTCCATCAACCCTGCCGCGTCTCCCTGCCCGGGGCGTATGCAGGTGGGCGGCACCAAGGCGGGCGTGGTGCGCTTCGTCGGAGAAACGGACTTTGCCAAGGGCGAGTGGTGCGGCGTGGAGCTCGACGAGCCTCTCGGGAAGAACGACGGCGCTGTCGCCGGCACCAGGTACCGCACCAGAGAGAGAGAGAGAGAGGGCGAGCGGGGAGAGAGAGAGATCGAGAGGGAGAGAGAACGTGGCGCCTGCTGGAGATGTTCTCGACTGAATTAAAAATAACATTGAAACCGAGAAAGGTAAAGGTGCTTTGCGGAGAAAATGTGATCATGCAGAGATTGCAGCAGCAGCAGTGGTGCCGCATGCCTGGGTCTAACAGAATCTGCATTAATTTCCCGATTGGGTAGAATTTGGCACCGGTTCAACCCGTGGCTGCTGCTGCTGCGGCCTTTCTCGCTCATTTGTGGTTTCTCCTCCTCGAGCCTCTGAGTCATCCTTTCTCTCTCTCTCTTTGAGAGCGAGCGGACACTGCGGCGGAGATGGCGGTGATGCGAGTTACAAGTTTAAATTAAGATTTGGCGATCATATTGGAATCCGTTTGGTAGTCCTGACGTTAACCAGGTGAGAGCAACATTACAATTTTCATACTCGAGTTGGATATGCTTGGCTCAATCTGGATGACGCTTTGCTGGGATAACGCATCTTTGTTGCAATGTTGGTGACGCTGATTTTCCAGGACGAGGTTTAAATCCGTTGCGGCAGAAACGAGCAGCCACGTCGTTATCTTGTCTCGGAACTAATGTGTGTTTTTTTACGGTCGCTGCAACTTTATACAAGATCGTAATACAAATATACAAAATAGTGTACGCTCTCCTTGTATGTGCTTGAACCGATGCAAGACCTTCCGGTGATTGAAGCGTAAGTGCCTCACGCCGCTTCGGTGCTGTGCTCGCTCCAATATGATGACACCGTCCGCAGACCTGTCCGGTGTGTCTTCAGTGCGACTGCATCTCAGTGCACTCTGCGGAGAAAGCGGCGCGTATCAATTTTGCGAGTCGAGCAACCTGTCTCTCTGCCTCCATAATAGAGCGGGGTTTTTGCCTCTGCCTCACCGTCGCAACAAGATACGAAATTATTATTCGCCCACATTTGGTGAATTCTCACAAATTCGCGACCGTGCGTCGATTTCATGCTTGATTAGTTTGTTCCGTCTTGTCTGTACAGTTTCTCGAGATGTTATTGCCTCATTCGTTTTGCTATCTCATCCGTTTCACTTCGCGCTAAAGCCACATTTGTGTACATTGTGAGTTCGTCATAAATAACCGATTTACATCCGTCGTAATTTAGCAATGAGCCTAACCATACATTTTTAACCAAAGAACCGATCAATATTTTACATGCCTACCCACTACCTCCAAAGACATAGGTTCCCCATATAGCCTTAGCATACTGTTGGGGCAAGTGCTATTAGTGAGTATCTACGAAGGCCGGCACAGCACAATGAGAGGGTGGTGTGGCTAGGAGCACATCTGGCCCCCTTCGTCTCCCCAGTGCTGATGGTTACACATCGCACCAGCTACTCTTTTAGGGCTGAGTCAACCTAGCGGAGGACCGTCACTCATATTATCCATGACTGGAAATCAAACTCAGGTCACCGGGTTTATAGTGCAGTTGTGCTAACCACGGTGCCATTGTCACGGGATTACAAGTCGACCTAGGGGAGTCCCAGGGACCGGTTAAGACATTCATCGCCTATGTTGGCTGCGAGCGGCAATCAAACTCGCCGCCGTGGCACATAACTACCTCGCCTGGTGTACAGGAGGTCGTGGGTTCGATCCCGGCCCTGTGATGCCTGCTGTATATTTGGAGTTTGCATGTCTCTCTCCCCGTGGTCACGTGTTTTTTTTTTCCGGGTCCTCCGGTTTTTCCCTCCACATTGATAAACATGCGTGTAGAGTATTTGGCTGCTATAAATGTCCACGTGATGAGCCGCTTGTTTGAGCTATCATTTGTGGCCAGGTCGCTTCTGAAAAAGACTTATATAGCTCAGTAAGCCTGACCTGGTAAAATAAAATAAAAACTTTTTTATAGCTTCAACTTGGGACGCTGGGTTCGTAGAGCAGTGCAGCACGCTAACCGCTGTGCCACGGCTCCCCGCCTCGCGCCCCATGCGATCTCTCGCCACGCACGTGCGCGCACACGCGCAGGTACTTCCAGTGCCAGCAGCGGTACGGGCTCTTCGCTCCGATCCACAAGGTGGCGAAGATCGGCTTCCCGTCGACGTCGGCGCGTCGCAAGATGAAGCGAGCGTCGGCCTCGGGGTTCTCGTCGCTGCGCCACAGCCCCAGCAGCTCGACGGTCAGCTCGCTCAGCTCCGTCGCCTCGTCCGTCGGGGGGCGGCCCAGCCGCACGGGCCTGGTGAGAGCGGGGCGCTGACACGAACAGCGACGGCAACGATCAAAATCTTTCATTCGACTGTGGAGGAATCCGATGAGCTATGAAGCTCTTTTTCACAGACGTCGAGTAGAAAGACGACGACGACGATGCTAGTGATAATAATGATGAACGTTTTACGCGCAGGTTTTGGCAGTCAGTGTTTGCGATCCGCGATCGATTTTTGAGGTAGCCCAAAGGGGGAAGAGAAAATAAAAATCATAAAGAGAAATGTAGAATATAGATTTAGGTCATAAGTAGCCAAGCAATTAAAATTGTCGCACATACCTAGCGATTTACTATTGCTCCGGCTCACACGCCGGTGAGATTAACACGAATCCCTAATGGTCGGCCCTCCCTCACTCCCACCCTCCCTCCGTCCCTGCCCGCGACAGCTGACGGAGACGAGCTCGCTCTACTCGCGGAAGATCGCGGGCAACACGGCGCTGCAGGAGGCGCTCAAGGAGAAGCAGCAGCACATCGAGCAGCTGCTCGCCGAGCGCGACCTGGAGCGCGCCGAGGTTGCCAAGGCGACCACCACCGTGGCGAACCTCGAGCGCGAGCTCGGTGCCCTCAAGACAACGCACGACAAGGTGGCGACGCGCCCGCACACGTTGCGACGACGATCTCCCGCGCGCGTGCGCACAACACGCGATTGTCCGTCCATCCATTTGTTTGTTTGTTGCAGCCCGAGAAAAGGTAGCAGGCAGGCGAGGTGCACGCACATCTCTGGCACACGCGACAAACGCTTAGTTGTTTGATAGTTCGTCCGTCTGTCCATTCATTTGGCTCGTTACAGCACTTGGCGAGCTAGGGGCAGGGCAGGTGTCCTCGTTTGTGCAACGCAACCAACCGTTCATTTATCGATTCATTCGTTCATTCATTCGTCTGTCCAGTCACATCTTTAATTTTCCCATCTCTCTGTCCATTCCAGCGACACCGTCCAGATGTGAGTAAAGGCTACGGTTGTGTCAGAAAATAACCCCCGTCCGCCCGCTTGCCCTTGCCCGACAGTCCACCGCGGAGATGGCGATGTGCCTGTGCGAGCTCAAGGCGGCGCTGGAGGTGACGGGCAGGGAGAAGGGTGACCTCATCTCGCAGCTGGAGGAAGAGCGAAGGTGAGGAGGAAATCTTCGCCAGTCGGTCAGGTGTCGAGACTCATCACCAGCCGTGATCCATCCACCGCCATACGTAGGCCTCCCCGTGCCGTTGTCATACCTCGTAGTCTCGCGATGGCACCATCCGTCTCGCTCCAACGCATGAGCTGATCTCGCTGATCTATCGCCCCCTCCCCCCCGCAAGTTCTCTCCTTTGGCTGTTAATGCAGTAACATGATTCCTTGTAAAAGGTTTCAGTTTGGTGTTTTAACATCTTAACGCAGCTGTTTGTTGCCAGAAAAAAGGGGAAAACCTATTCTCATGGCTGCAAACGCTAAAGCCGCTCTCCTCTCTAGCTTCTCTCTCCAGTGCCAAATGTACCGATCATGCCGTCCTCTCCACTCCTCTTTTACCTGCCTTTGGCGTTTCACGGTCGGGTCGGTCGGAGGTTCACAAATCCGCGTGAACCGTCGGCCCTTGTTTGCCTCCAAAGCGTCGGACGGCAGGCGCGCGCCACCACACGCCGTTGCTTTTCACTGCGTCGGTGCTTCGTGCTGCGCGTCGTTTGGCACGACGTCCTGGCGATTCGCTCCTCGTGCCGGGAGCTTCGTCACGAGCTGAATTGTAGCGACTCACTCTGTCGCACAACGACGATCGACGTCGCTGTCTCGCCGTTGCCGATGTTACCAGTTCTGGATGTTGGCTCGGCTCGGCTCTTTCCCGACGTACGCCGGTGGACCACTGTCGTTATTCTCTGTCTGGGAGGAAACTGGAGCTCCCAACACGTGGCGCGAAACGTCGGACATCGTGCCGTACAACGCGCAGTACCACCCGAAAACACATCGGAGAGCACCTCACCTTCTGTCACCTCTGACCCGATTAGAACGTGTAACCATTTGTGGTGGCGAATAATCTTTCCCCACGGGCATTGAATGCTCTGTGACTCGTGTTGTCCAGTTGTAAAACCCCACCCCCCCTTCTTTTCTTGGTTACATGGAATCTCCTGGGTGGCCAGGAGAGTGGAGGACCTGCAGTTCTGCGTTGAGGAAGAGTCCATCACGAAGGGGGATCTCGAGGTACGCTTTGCGACGCTTGCTGGACGTGTGTATGCATGGGCCAACAGAAAAAAGACTTGAGGCATAGATAATGTGCCTTGAAATGTAATTTCTTCATGTTCACTCCAAAACATAGAAGCCTTTGTTATTTTAATGCGCCGAAGTAAAAAAATACTCTGAACTCTTGTTAACTCCGTTAGGGAATAGGATTTGGGTTTATGTCTTTGATGCTATACTGAGCAACTCGTTCACGAAGAAGTTTGGAACGCGATCTGAGAAAAAAAATTCAATTGAAAGATACGTGGATATGGACTCGTGCACAAAGAGAGATTGCGTTGTTGAAAGCAAGCGTTGTAAATAACAATTCGCAATATTACGTATTAATTTCTTAATCTTTCTTTGCATAAAAGTCTCTATCAGGAGGAACCCGCACACCTGAATTTCCCTCTCCTTGGAACGGTTGCGCATTTTGGGGGGATGAACTGTACATTACCCTGACCCCACCCCCCCTGCCCCGGCGTTCACCGCGTGGTGCCATCCTTGGGGGCGGTCGCGCTAGCCGCGCGGACGCACAGGTCGCAACGTCAGGCGGCTACTCCACCGCACCCACTCTCCTCCTGTCCGCAGGCGCTCACGATGAGGGAGAGGTCTCGTATGCGGGAGCTGGAGGCTGAGCTGGCGCTGCGGAGGTCGGAGGTCGCCGAGCTGAGGGCGCGGCTCGGGGAGGGCAGCGCCACCCCGTCGGCCCGCACCCCCGGTCAGAGGCCCCCCCACCCTCGATTGTTTTTGCCCTCGAGCTCCCCTCGTTAATTCCACGCGTAGGCCCGTTTGTTCCGCGCCTTTTTAACGTGAAAGGTCCGTTGAATGGGGCGGCCGGGTTGCGTCAATAGAAACTGATATTACTTTTTCAAGAAATTAAATTTTTTTGTTAAAACCAGGTAAGGGCCACTGAGATATGTAGTTCTTTTTCAGAACGACCTGGCTATCACAAATGATAGCTCAACAAAGTGGCTCATCATCGTGTGGAAATGTATTGCAGCCAAATACTCGAAACGCATGTTTCTAAATGTGGAGGTGGAAAACCGGAGGACCCGGAGAAAAATCCACACGACCACGGGGGAGAGAGAGAGACACGCAAACTCCAAATATACAGCAGGCGTCAGGGTTGGGATCGAACCTGCAACCTAGAGAGATCGGCATTGTATGTGGTTCAAGCCGTGTTTGGCCGCTTTGGCAGCTTGCCCCACTGAGTGCTCGGCGTATTACCAAACGCTAAATTGTCATTTATCGTTGTCGTTTCTCTTCCAGTTTGTAAACGTGACGGACATTCACAGAGCTGGATGAAGGTTAAAACTAACAAGGTCTTCGGCTTTGTTTCGGCACATTACTGGTAGTCATACAGATAGTGTCGCTAAGACCGTAATTGCCAAATTATTGAAGCAGGATATATTTACTTGTTTATTGAGGTGTAGGGAGGGGCGGGGGGGGGGGTCCTTCAACATCAGCGGCAAGCCCCTCAAGGGCTCCCTTGCGCTGGCCCTGCCTGCGAGAGGGCGCCGTCGATCAACCGCATCCTTGTCGCCTTGACAGACGGCGACGGCGTCGGCGCGGACACCGGCGGCATCCTGAGCCTCCAGCAGGAGCTGGACGGGCTGCGTGAGCAGCTGCATGCCGTGAGCCAGGGCCACCAGCAGGAAGTGAACGTTCTTAAGGAGCACCTGCTGACCACCCAGCGGGACCACCAGGCCGAGCTGCTCAAGCTGCGATGCCGGCCAACGAGCAGCTGTCGGAGGAGGCCAAGATCCTGCAGGCGAGGTACGAGCGCGCCGGCAGGGAGAACCAGGAGAACCTGGAGCAGTGGAGGGGCCGGCTGGAGGCCTTGGCGCAGGAGCACCAGAAAGCCACGGAGGATTTGAGGACCTCCCTAGGTGTCCGGCTGCGAAGGCCACCGCAGGGAAATTGCCGAGCACAGGTCCGTCGTTGAGAGCTTGAAGGCCGAGGGCCGCCAGGAGCTGGAGCTCTTGAGGGCCAAGCACAGCGTGGAGGCGGGCGCCTGTCGCCAAGGAGAGGGAGCAAATGCGTCGCGAGCTCGAGGAGGTGCAGGAGGAGAAGGAGAGGGAGATCGAGCGGCTGAGGGCGCAGATCGAGCTCATCACGGACCAGCACCTGGTGGAGCTGGAGGAGACGTTGAGCAAGCAGCACGACGCGGAGGAGAAGCTCAAGGAGCTGGAGGAGCAGCAGGTGGGCGGCCAGGAGGACGGCGACGTCCTCATGTCCCTCCGCGCCAAGCTCGCCGTGGCCGAGCAGAAGACCAAGGACTACGAGAGCCTGCGCGAGGCGGAGGCCCGCGGCCGCGAGGAGGTCTCCAGGCTGCAGGAGAAGCTCCATACGCTGGAGGACATCAAGGTGGCAGTCAACAACAATGTAAGTGTTCTGGTTGTTTTTACTCAAATCGAAAGCTTCTCCAGTTCTGAGACGTGTGTGAACGCTTCGGCTTAATTGCCAACGGTCTGCAAGAAGCGGTGAATGCCCTACCACAGTACAGCCTCGTGTTTGGATAAAGTAGCCTGTTGAAGTATGAAAAGTAAGAGGAGGTTTTACCCTTTCTAGCAATTAAACAGGAGGTGTTAAGATGTTCATGCACCAAATAGAAACCTCTTGCAAGGCATAAAGTCTGCAGTCTGCATTAAGCACACGTACTTGCGGTGACCATGCAAACAAACTCTGATCATATATAAGCATTGTCTTTGAAACTGATTGGTCTACTCCAGAGGCAGCCTTGTTCTTTAGGGCCTAGTCTCACCACCAGTGTCAGACCAGAGAACAACGCCACAAGGTGAACAGCACAAAGACAATGCACGTATCAGAGCATTCATAGCTCGGGGTGAGTCATTGCAGACATCTCTCTCTCTGTCTCATAATGTATCGGGGGCTGTTCTCTGACACTCGGTGGAGCCACTGTTCAACGTACGTTGAACTTCTTTCGCGCCGGACGTAGCCAACCGTAGCGAATTCCAAATGGAAAGTCGTTCGTCCGATTGCGAGAGCGTTTAGCGGACCGTGCGGGGTCACGTTGCGGCGGGGTAAAGTGAGAATACTCCCACCAGTTGCAAGCCATCCGGCCGGCGTGAAAGAGTGGGCCGAAAATACCCTCGAAGTGCCCCCTGTCGTTTTGCGGAGGCCCCTACCGCCAACAGTGGCAGTGAGCAGGCAGTTGCAGGGCTGCGCTTTTACCTCCACCCTGACATAGCAGCAAGTGACATAATTGGAATGTCGCTAGGTGGAAGGGTAAGGAAAGGATAATGTAAGGATAATCATCTTCACTTATCCGATTCTGTTCCTCCCTTAAAACCCATCTCTTCCCTCTAGCCCATCCTACTGCTACTCGCTGTCCCCACCCCACAACAACGACCAGGACCTACCCCTATCACTACCCCTATTACTACCCTTACTACTACCCCAAACCCTATCACTACCCTTGCCCCTATCACTACTCCTATTACTACCCTTACCACTACCCCTACCTCTATCATTACCCTTACCACTACACCTATCACTACCCTTGCCCCTATCACTACCCCTATTACTACCCTTACCACTACCTCTATCACTACTCCTATCACTACCCCTACGACTACCCCAACTCCTCCCACCCATTCTCCTAACTGTCACCATAACTACACCACCACGCTTAATAAACCCCAACTATTTATCTCAGCCACTGTCACCTCATGTACCAGTCTATAACCGTTGCAAAGCGCCTTGGAATAAGGCGCTCCATGTGCACCTACGCAAGATGTAAGGAGACGGGATAAGACGAGAGAACGCGCTCCGTGCATGGACCTTGGCTTGCGCGTTTGCCGCAGACGGAGGACATGAACGGGACTCTGGAGGGCGGCGACCAGAAGCTGGAACACGCCGTGAAGGGTCCGACGCCACCCCCCACACCCCCCGACGGTCCCTCCGCAAGCACGCATGCCCCCACGCATGCCGCCACGCACGCCCCCACGCACGCCCCCCCGCAAGCACGCACGCCCCCACGCACGCCGCCATGCACGCCGCCACGCACACCGCTCCACGTTTGGCGCTCTTCTAAGGACGCGCTTTGCATTGTCGTTGGCGCCGCTGACGGGAACGCCGCCGTTGCGTTGTTCTTCGTGTAGACCTGCTCTCGAAGCTGAGCAGCAAGGAGGAGGAATGCAGAAGCCTCGGCCAGCAGCTTGAGAAGGCTCAGCTGCAAGTATCAGGTACTCGGGAAACAATGTAATTTCTCTTGCATTTGAAAAGCTCCGGCTTAGCTTCTCATTGATTCATCATGGATTTGTGGGTTAGGCCACGTCATAATCTAGGTAAAGATCTGGCCAAATTTGTGTCGTGTGACCCTCCACCTCCTGACAGCACCAAACAAGTTTAATTGTCACGTGCAGAACAAATCTGACATTTATTTTTAGAAATCTGTATCTAATAGTTAAATATAATTGTGAGAATTGTTATTCAACTTACCGATGAGGTGAAACAATAAAAACTGGTGCAATATTCAATGCTTGTACAACGTGTCAGGTGATGGAGGCTTTCACGACAAAAATCTGGCTAGAAATCGTTTCATAGCCAAACCCCTAAAACAATAGCGAATCATCATATTGCGGCTCAGAAAATCTATGTATTAAACTAGCTTCTCATTAATTTGTTTGTTTAGATTCACGAATAACACTCCTTTCATGGCAGGCGCAGCGAGTGGTGAGATTTAAAGAATTACCCGCGAATTTGGAATTCCCAACGATCCATACAATTCCTTCGACTGTGCGGCACAAATTGTTTAAGAAGAAAAGTCTACGCTTGAGACGTTGACCGTTGAGAACGGCTGCTGTCACCTCCGCATGGCCGGGACACTGGGCTCACGCATCGTCGTTATCATTGTCATCGTCATTGTCGTCGTCATTGTTGTCATCATTGTCATCGTCATTGTTATCATTGTCATCATCGTAATCATTGTCATCGTTGTCATTATCGTAATCGTTGTCATCGTCGTCATTGTCGTCATCGTTGTCATCGTTGTCATCGTCGTCATCGTTGTCATCGTCGTCATTGTCGTCGTCGCCAGACGTGAAACAGAAATCGGCGGCGGGGGCCAACGAGCCGGCCAGCCTCAACGGCGCGGTGCCGGAAGCCGCGGTGGCCGAGCGGACACCCCCGCCGCCCCCCACGGACGGGGACGCCGCCGGGGACGCCGCCGTGGACGAGCTGGGATCGGACCTGAGGCTGCGGCTCTCCGAGGCGCAGAAGATGCTGGAGAGCTCCGAGCAGCGCAACCAGCAGCTGCAGGCCCTCCTGGAGGCCTTCCGGGTGAGCTCCCATCGCGGCACGCCAATCACGTTCGCCCGCTGTTGCGAGATGTTAACTACCTCGCCTGGTTTACAGGAGGTCGTGGGTTTGATCCCGACCCTGATGCCTGCTGTATATTTGGAGCTTGCGTGTTCTCCCCGTGGTCATATGAATTTTTATCCGGGTCCTCCGGTTTTTCCCATCCACATTTCAAAACACGCGTTTAGAGTATTTGGCTGCTATAAATTTCCATGTGATGATCAGCCACTTCGTTGAGCTATCATTTGTGTTGACCAAGTCACTTCGAGGGTTTCTCCACGCCGAGTGGGGGTTGCGGGGTTTATTTGACCGTGGCGTCCACCACGCTGTTTGGTGCCGGTCGGTGAAGGGAGAGGGCAGGGGCCCAGAACCGGTTCTGGTAAGCAACCAGCGTTAGCCGTGGGCGGCAATTGAACTCGAGTGGCCGGATTCGTCGCTCCAACCGCCGAGCTTGTCAAAAAAAAACCCAGCTATGAATGGTGTGGGGAGGCATTCATCCGACAGTGGATTTAGAAACGACTGAGGCTTGTAATTTTTTTGCTAGTGTTATTTGATAACGTTTGACTAAACCATGAGCTCTGTCTCATGCCCGGGGTTATATTCTCTTGAAGCTTCTGAGAACCTCGCATAATTGCAGTGTACGCACACGAACAAACACACACAAGTTTCATTGAAACTCGGCTTTGTTGCGATTTTCCCAGAGTGCCAAAGACAGGCAAAGCGCTGCCGACTTGGAAGACGGCGTCCGAAGGTAAGCTTTTTGATGTTTGTGTTTATAGCACCTGCACGTCACTTGTTGAATTAGCGCGATGCGTTGCCGGACGGAAAACCCGCGGGGGACTCAAAACATTCTCTTTATAGCTTTCCAACCGCAGTCGTTGAGTGCAAGACAATGTCCGCGCAAAAGGTCATGGCGTTGGAGCGTGCTCATGGCAGGCCATGAGAACCGTTCACATATCCACTCGGCTCCGCCACCCAGGCGTACTGCGGTGGAAAGATGTTATCTCCGTCGCCTGGTATACAGGAGGTCGCGGGTTCGATCCCCTGACACCTGCTGCTGTATATTTGGAGTCTCTCTCCCTCTGGTCGTGGAGATTTTTCTCCGGGTCCTCCGGTTATTCCCTTCACATTTAGAATCGACATCGTGCATTCAGAGTATTTGGCTGCTGCCATCGTTGAGTTATCATTTGTGACCAGGTCGCTTCTGAAAAGGAGCTTAGAGCTCAGTGGGCCTTACCTGGTAAAATAAAAAATAAAAAAAATAGTTAATAGTTTTTTCTAACAGCTGGCACGAGCACTCTCCCTTGGCGCCGTCGGCCACCGCGCATCGCCACGGGGAGCACTGCCGTCGTACCCGCAGCACCCATCACACCATCACAACCGCAACAACCACCCAGCATGCACCACTGCCGCTCCCACACCGCTGCCGTGCCGTGCGTTCTGAAGCCAAATGCGAACAAGAATCCCTCGCACACCTGTGTAAAAGACATAGGTAAAAGCTTGGGAAAACAAACTTGTTGACCTGAAGCATTTTGTTCAAATGTCTTTTAATTAAGCGCAATGTACGAGGGCACTGCAAAGATAATGCCGATCGTCATCGCTGTTGTCATCGCAGCAGCGAGGGAAGCTACTGAACTAGAGATGCTGTCGGTGGCTTTCAAAACTTCGGCAATCCCTCAAAGTAACTAAGTGTCCCACCGCACGCCGCCCGGCAAATGTGACCCATTGAACTTGACACGTTTTACTGTGTCACGACCACTCTTTAGAATTTGCACGCTCCCTACACAGTGCTCGCCGCGCCATCCTTCCGAATTAATCCGTGTCTTTTTCCCTCTCTTGTTTTACGTCGTGTTTTCTTTGTTTGGCTTGCACTCTCTCACCTTGCGATTCCTCCACCATGGTAAGAACGAGCGAAGCAGACCCTCACTGACCCCGCCACCCACCCGCCTCCCGCCCCGGCCACCCCGGCTGCCCCTCACCTCGGTCGCCACCCCACGTCTCCCTCGCGACTCCCTCCATCTCCCCCCCCCCCCCACGCACGCACGTTACAGACGAACGGCTCCTGGGCTGTAGCGCGTATAGTGCCAAACGCTCGACAGAGCACCACCCTGCCACCCCACCACCATCCCTACTTCCCCCTTCTTTCGTCTGTTTGAGTAGGCGCCGCCACAAGTAATCGTGCGTTTGTTGCAATTACAATACAATTTGTATTTATATAGCGGTGTGTCTAAATGCAAGCGTATTTCAATACACTGTACGGCATACAGTGTGCGTATTTATTTTGTAGAGAGGGGCAGTCAGTCATATTGCAAATGAAACATGGAAGGATCTTGAGCTTGGACTTGAACAGAGGCAGGGACTTAACAGCACCAACGGCTGGGGAAAAGGAGTTCTACAGTATGGGGTTGCAGCAAAGGAGAAGGAGCGACCTCCCATCGAGCGACGGTTGAGCGGGAGTATTTTATAGACTTCCTCGATTGTTGGAACGGAGAGCTGGCCCGTTGTCCTTTTGGAGTCATCTGTGCGTCTTTCCTGTCTTTGCCTCACTTCCTTGCCTGGCTCCTCACTCACTCATTCACTGTCTGGTTAGAGGAGGTGGTGGTGGTGATGATGATGATGGTGATGATGGTGGCCATCATCATCGACTGAGCAAGGCCAGAGTTGCCAAGTGGCCGGGTTGAATTGTTCGTAAGCACAAGTGGCCATCGTGGGTTATAAGCTCACGGACACCAGTGGCAAGCGCTTCTCATCTTTGCCAAACTGTTCATCAACAAAACAATGCTCTGTGCTCAGCGTGCGAGTAACTAAGAGATAATTGCCAGGCCTGATGAGAGGGGATGGAAAGGGGGTTGGATACAACTGCACCAGGGCCGCAAGCACATGATGGCGGGGGCAGTGGGGGGTTGGGGACACAAACATTACAATTATTTCTTTGTCCAGGTTTTACGGGAAAGAATTGGGACCCATAGCCAACATTCTACTGGCAGGGTGGCTTTGCGGTAGAGCGAGCCGCTCGCAATTGGAAGGGCATGAGTTCAAATCAAGGTTTGTGGATGACTCCTCCGATCATCCCTCCGGGGTAGATAAAATTCTTACCACTTTGTGGGCGAAGTAACCGTTGGTTGTCCTATGGATAGAATCGTCCCCTGCCATAAAGTGTGGAATTTCCGACCACCCGCTCAGGGCTGTGAACAGGAGATAAGCACCAATGCCTCAATGCTCATTAAGAGAAAGGAATCAGGTTGTTTCTTTTTTACACTTCAGCCAACATTATGCACCGGGGAACCAGATTTCTCTCGAAGGGACTGGTTATCGCCAAGTTGCTATCGTAAAACACGAGATTTTCGAGTCGAAAAAAAAACTCGATTGGTTTTTTGCCTCCGTTGGGGAGGCCGGGGGTGGCTGCCCAGGCAAGACGTAGCGCCGATCCCGTGGAGAAAACCCAGACGCCAGCACCAAGCAATGTGAATCGACATCTCGTAAACGGCGAGCGTGGTTTCCCTCGCTTGAACCATTCTACTGGCGCTGCTTCGTGGCGTCGGCTGCGTTGATGCCGTCCGGTCGTCCGGACCGAGTGTTTGCAAACGATGGCCTTAAATGATAATTGTTTTTTTACCCTTCTATCTGGCAACAAAACTGACACCTTTTTTACAAGGAGTCATGTTTACATAGACCACACGCCAAAAGGCGTCATCTGGTCCAACCCATGTGAGACTAGGCTCTAAGAAAAGCTGTCTCGGGTGTGGACCAATCAACTTCAAGGACAGTGCACATTATCAGAGTTATGTTTTTTGTTTGCATTATGACTGCAGGTATTGTGGTCTATGTAAACATGACTCCTTGTAAAAAAGGTGTCAGTTTTGTTGCCAGATAGAAGGGTAAAAAACCAATTATCATATTTTTACTGGCAAATGAGGTTCCAATGGTGATGGCCTTAATTCTTTTGAAAGTGCTTGCGGGGCCTGGTCGTGCAGGCTCGCAACCATAGGCTGTCCCTCCATGCGCAGCACTTCAGGTTGGACTGCACGTTGGCGCATTTTTTCACTCAAGCTTTCGCCACGCACCACTGAGGGCATCTTCATTTTTCCGCTCCTGGACTTGAACTCCCGACGGTGCCCACAGTTGCACGTGGTGAGGACCTGAGAGATGAAAGGCTCGGCACATAACCCAACCTGGAAAACTGCACCCGGACAACGTACGGACAACGTGTGGCTGAGGGAAAAAAACCTTCGTGCAACCATAGGTTGCTCTGTTAAGCAACTGCGTTCCCCCGAAAATTGCCTAATTGTCACGTGCCACTTTTAAATGAGCAATTAAAAAAAAATCTTTTAATATTTGCGTTACGAAGAAGGAAGAGAATTTGCGGCACAGCCGTGCCCCCGATTAGCATGCTTGACAAGTAAATAAAGGATATCATCCACGAGGATCAGCGATGCAGTGCATTGAACGCCTTCGCCCAAGATGCGCTGAGACTTGTCCGACAGTTCAAATGCAATGAAACAACACAAAAACAACAACCGATTAAAATATTCGTGCGAAGCGAGTCGATCACGAACAAAATCGGCCCATTTTTTTTTTAAATAAACGTTTTAAAATGTTTCTGTCGTTCGCCGACGCGCCATGGAGCCCGCGAGCATGGCGCCGCCGATCGCACGGCCCCGTCCATGCCGCTGGCCGCGCCGCGTCTGGTGCCGCACTGAGCAGCGTCTTCTAAAGACCGCAATGAGGTTGCAGCGTCGTCGGGCGACCGACGCGGGTAGAAAACGCGTCGACTGTGTAACCCCCGACCCCCGACCCCCGCCCTCGTTCGTGCGAACCCTACGCCGCTATGACGCCCCTTGCATGTGTCTTTCTGTCTCTGTGATCCAACGGTAAAATATTATAACGTTAGTCATTTATTAATCAAATAATAATCAGAACGGTAACATCATCACTGCAAGACGCGGTAACACGTTTGAGCGGTCAGCGGCGGTTACATGGCCCATGCCATGGATGCTTGGTTTTCCTCTTACCGTCGTAGCGTAAGGGAGCATGGGACTTTGCATTTGTACAAGGCCCCCTGGAAACTTTGGGTTGGTGTGTTGCTGTGTTGTGTGAGAGAGAAACTGTGTGCGAGTTTATACATCTCCAGCCCACCTTGTTACCAACACCACACCTGCATTGTACATTACATCACAGTCGTCACTAATTTATGTTGTCCTTGAGTTACTTCATTACTTTCATCGCATTTTGAGTCGTCAGCGAATCCTTCACGCGCTCCCCGCGCGTTGTCGTCAGCCACCTCGCTCGCGCGCTCGCTGCACTTTCGTGCAATTGTAGCTGCGGGTGATCGACGCTCGTTTACTTTTAAACGTTCTCTACGCGCTGCAATGCATGTATCCTCGCTATATTATCTGCTCCTCGGTAGTAAAGAGTAAAAGATGATGATGAAGACAAAAACAACGATGATGGTAAAAGGTAAATAAAGGCAAATATTTGTAAGGACTTTGGTGGCGGTGGTCTCTGGTTGCACGGCATTGTGGTCCAGTGTCTTGACAGCTGTAAATGTTACAAAAACACCATTGTGTACAAAGCGTTCACGACCTTTAAATGTTTAGAGGAAATCTTCAAGTTTAACATTGGCTACAAGCGGCGGGGTCAAGTGTGGGCATCCCCCACCTCTTCGAAGATGTCTCGCCAGCGTGTCCCCACTTGAGCAGTCGTTCTTAACGTTTACTGCAGCCTTGCACCCCTTTGGTTCCCAATCGTAAAGAATTATAATGTTAATATGTACATAGAGTTTGATGAAACAAAGTAGTTGTACTTACGTGCCTCTGCTTAATTTGTGTTTCGTTTATTTACCTTCTAACAAAAAATCTGGCCACGTCTCCCATCCCCAGAAAGGGCATCTCGCACCCTCAGGGGGTGCAGCGTGCACCTCAGGTTAAGAAGAAGAACCGCTGCTGTAGAGGGGGGGGCTCTCTAGAGCCCCCCACTCATGGTGGCGAGCTTGCGCTGTGTGCAACACCGGGGTAGGCTGCCTCGAGTGACTTAGTCGGTGGTCGCCCGCAGGTGAACGAGGCGTGCTAACACGACGCGCGTTGGAACGTGCCGCTTGACCTCTTAACCCCCACAGTGAGGTGGTGGTGAGACAGGAATCGAACGAGAACTCCCACAATGCATCGCAACCGACGGATACCCCGAAGGATGCTGAGACGGATGCGGTTCAGAGTCCCACACGTGGAGAGGTAAGGACGTTTAGTGATGAAGCTGGCGATTGTTGAGATGTTGGTGTTTGCCGCACCCTGGACCTTAACGCGAATCTGGTAACATCCCCCCGCATGTGCCTCGTTGACTCCAGGTTTCATTTCTCAACGCCGTGATCGTGGGACTTCAGCAGAAGAACGAGGAGCTCAAGGGTAAACTGGAGAAGCTGGTGGAGGCGTCGTTGAATGGAGATGACAAAACTTCACCATCGTGAGTCTTGCTGTCCATTACTGGGTTTTCTGTCGAACTTTCTATGTCAACGTTTGACACAATGCATATATTGTTACCATTTAAATTTTCCATTCGTGATGTTGTACTCCCAGCTCAAAGGGTGGTGTGAGAATTAAAACTAGAAACAAATATCATTTAGCAATTGAAACAAAATGAAACGAAGTTGGGCAAGACGTAAAATGACAGTTGCGGGTTAAATTAACAACGGCATGGAGGCCGATGAAGAGAAGGAGCAAGAGAGGTGGGCAGGAATTGAGATGGTGAGACAAGGTTAGACGATTTGGAGGTGCACGTGGCATAGATGCAGCAACTGATCGTGAAGAGTAGGAGACCCGGAGCGTTGCCATTGAGAGGTATATTTATAGCAGCCGTGTGCTTCGCAAATGTCACGCACCCAAGGATCATTTCACAGCATTACATAAAACTTTATTTGAATTTCACTCGGATGCTCATCCGTAAAATTATTAGTTGCGATCCTGGTTTGGCGTCACATCCTGCATCTTGCTGGTATTGGCCTCTTGTCGCGTCAGCCGTGGCTCAGCTTGCATCACTTCTCAAATGCTGGTGTCCCCTCCTCTCCCCCACCCCCCCCTCGAGCGTTCAATTCCTTCCCGATTGCCCACACCCCCCCCCCCCCCGCCGCAGGAAGTCCAAGTCGCGCTCTCGCCGGCCGCCACCCCGAGTCTTCTGCGACATCTGCGACCGTTTCGACCTTCACGACACCGAGGAGTGTCCCACGCAGGGGCCGCCGCCGACCCTGCCCGCCGGCCCGTCTCCGGCGGCGTCGCCGTCGTCCGGTCCGCCGGCGGCGCGGGCGGCATCGCCGCCTCCGCCCTCCCCGTCGCCGGCGTCCCCTCCACACTCGGCGCACCGAGGGCCGCGCAAACAGAACCGGCCCTACTGCGACGCGTGCGAACTGTTCGGCCACTGGACGTCCGAGTGCAACGACAACCAGACCTTTTGAGAGAGGGAGCAGGCCGCCCGCTTGCGCGCCGCGTCGTCCCACTTCTTGTACTGCTGCTGCTGCTGCCGCCGCCGCCGCCGTACGGTCGCGGAGAATGAGCTAAACCTTCTTCTCCCGCTTGAGCGTGGCTCTCTATAGCGAATCTTAAGCCCATGTCTGGGCCCGATAGCCCGAGCCCAGCCTCGGTGAAGCCGAATGGATGTCTGTGACGCCTCCGCTGAATTTAACCGAGGTGCACAATGTTCTTCGCTCCGGGCTGGTCAGGATTTCCACGGTCGTATGCCGCCGGAATTTCTCTGATTATTTTTTTTGTTTTTATTTCCGCGTGGATTGCCGGTGTGGCCGCCGCACCGGCCGGTCCAGCGTACGCCGTTGCTTTCGAGGCAGGTCCAACCCGTAACGAGCTAAACCGAACAATTATCACAAAACTTGAATCGGCATGACCCAGTCGAGTCTGCCCTGTGGTCGCGCGTAATGGCACCAAGCCACCTGCCAGGGGTGAGGCTCCCAACGAGGTTTAATGCCTTTTCTCGAAACGTCTGGCAAATGTGCTTAGAGTTTACATTTTTAGTTTTATTAATTTCATTTCTGATTTTTTTATTTTGATAAAATAAACTTCACTTGTATCAAAGTGGTAGGCGTTCCTTTCTAAAACAGAAGCTTGTTAAGGTGTATTTTTTATTTTAAAGACGTTAGCCAGTACTAGTATTTACACTCTCCCTCCCGAATGTTCGTCACACGCTAGATGTGGTATAGAACAGGCTCGTTCATATGCGAGTCCAAAAAAACATTGTAAAAACATTCACCAATACCAATACCCTCTATTCGCCACTAAGTGACGGTGACGTCACCACGGCGCCTATGCCAGGCCAGGTGCACTTTGAGGCCACTTGAAATGTCGAAGGCATCACTGACAGGAGGTCTCGGTACAGACCCAGGTGCCATGGGTTGGCTGACTGAGATGACTGGTAGATGCACCAGCTCTACCCCCTACTGTGCCAAATTTCTGCATTTTAGCCACTGGGTGCTCTGCTCATTGTTATGAGCGTCGCTCCTCTGCCTTCCATTGTTGCTGGAGGACGACTGCCTCCAACTGCCCAGTAGCGTCCTTCACAAGCCTCCTCCAAAGAGACCGATCTTGCCACCGCGGACACTAGTCGTTGGCAAGTCCACACAGCTCCACATCCTCCTGTACCGCCATCAGTCCATCTCTTCTCCAGCCCATGTCGTGCCCGTTTAGCCCCATCTATGCGGCCAAACAGAAGTTGCTTGAGCATGCGGTGGATGGGCATGCGGGCTACATGACCCAACCCACACACACACACACACAGCCGCAGAATGCTCTAAGTGTGAGCTGACCCCGTGGAAATTTGATCGTTTCATCGAACGGGGATGGCTGAGTTACTGAAAGAACAAATCAATGCACAGTGCCGTCGTGACACGGAGACCACGGAACGCTCGCTTATTGTGCCGCACTGCTGATGCATCCGGCCAGGTCTCCCTCCTTCATTGTTCTCCTCGTGGCCTGCCACCACTGTCCTGCCACCACAGTCAGCTCGCTCTTCCGCCGAGTCACCCGTCATCCTGCCAGGTGGCTCGGCGCCAAAGCGAGCGGCTCGCAATCGAAAGGTCGCGAGTTTCGAATTCTGGTTGGCGGTGGCGGGGAAAGAGGGAGGATGGGGGGGGTGATTTAGTTCATCATTCCGTCAGGGGGTCGATAAAATCAGCACCAATGAGAACCGCTTTTTGGGGAAAGTCCAGCGTGGTTGTTCTATGGATTGGACTCATCCCTGCCGTGGGTACGTGGAATTTCTACCACTGTCACAGGAATCGCCCCATTTTTTTACCGACACAGTGGTCCTCTGTGGCATTCCTTCGCCACTACAGTATTGCCCAACCGTTCCCCCCCCCCCCTCGCGACTTCCCCCCCGGCAATTCTATGACTTGCCATGAATCGAGTGGGGTCATGATTTTTCTGTTGTGGTGAATGTAGCGGTCTCTAGTGGAAAGAGGGTCACGTGCACCCATTATAAATAAGGTATTATTACAGTCAATAAAAATTGTTGACATTCAGCTTTCGGTCGACGATCCACTGCTGGAGGAAGGCCTCCCCACGCCAGGTCAGTCAGCAGAGGCTGTTTGACCATACTTCACCACGCTGGCGAGTGTGGGTTGGGTCAAGTTGCGCCACACGGAGTGATGCTGGTGCTGTGACTCGTAACTGTATCTCTAACGGGGGTGATATTCACCCCACTCACTCCGTCTGCCGCAATCCGTCTCTCCTGAAAGTCCGTGTGTACGCTCCTGTTAAGTTTCATTAATATTTCCGCGTCGTTTTGGTTTCCTCTCATGTGTATAAATGCTCGTTAAGTGGCTGGAAATATCTTAATATATATAGCGAGAGGACTGCAGAGCTTTGGCAATTGTTGGTAGTGCCGGCTCACCGCCTGGCTGCTGCCTCTAAGCTTTGGCTCCTCGGTGATCGTGAGAGATGCAGTTTGCGTGAACGGCAAATGACGCCGTAGATAAAAACTAACGTGTACAAACTTACAGCGCCTGTTTTTTTTGTGAGCGCTGTATCCAGTATGACGTATAACAATAGGTTTGACCCATTCTGGCAATGAAACGGGACATGTTAAGATGTTCAAACACCAAATAGATACCTATTGCAAGGTATCAAGTGTGCATCAACCGCACATACTTGTGGAAAAACATGCACACAAACATGCTCTGATCATATGCGCATTGTCTTGATTGGCCTATACCAGAGACAGCCTTCTCGATGGCCTTGGTGAACACTTCAGTGTAAGTCTCATTCTTTATGGCCTTGTCTCTTAACTTGGTGAGCACTTCAGAAATAAGTCTCATTTTGCAAGCGTGACCTGGGCCACCAAAATGACAAAGCAAAGCGAGTCAAGCGAAGCGAATAGAAATCGGAACAAACACAAAAAAAACCAGACAAAAGACACGCTCGGGCACATTCCCGGTGACTTTCCCCACCAGGGCCCTCCAGAGCTGCCCGAGCGGGACTGGCACCCCCCCGCGCCCCACCCTTGGGCCCTGGATTGGGTTCGCTAGAGGGTGGGCGGCTGGTGGTGGCAGAGGCCCTCTGGACATGGGGAGTCGGAGGGCCCGAGGTGCGGTTGTGACTGGTCAGAGCTGACCTTAGCCCAGCTCGGTCAATCTGCTGACTCCACACCACCAAAAGGGTCGTGGTGGAAAGTTCGACATGTCAACGTTTAAGGGGGTTTTCAAGTGTTATGTTTTTTTTTTATTATCGTGTTGTTTAAATTGGCTTAGTTGAAAAGCTTCACCTGACGACTTTGCCTGCCGCCTCCGCCGCTGCTGTGGTAGATAGAATGGCGAGTGTCCCGGTGAATTTTGATAACCCACAAGAGTGCATCGGAGGTCAGGTTTTGTTGAGAGTGGGGGGATGAGGTCGGTGAAAGTGAAGCCGTTAGGTTCACCGTGTGGGCCTGCGGTGGGTTGGGGGGGGTCAATTAAAACGAACACTAGTGGATTTCGATTTAAAGCTTTCGTGACTGCAGGGATTCATCTTCTTGGTTCTTTCGGTAAAGTCACGTAGAATGGAAATAATAAAATAATAAAAATATAACATAATTAAATAATTCTCACGACGTTTCGGCCACAACGCAAGCAGCCGTCCTCAGGTGAACAACAGGGCTGTCGATAAGACAAGAGTCTGAATGGATTGTCATGCGGTTCAAGGAAGACAGCATTAGATGTTTAAAATGTTGATACTGCATGTGGGTTATCGAGTTCATCCAAGATAGTCCTCAAATTTTAAGAAATGGAATTACACCCCCTCCCCCGAGGTCTGTAATTTTGCACTTTTTCTGCATCTGTCTGGGGTAGATAGCATTGAACATGGCAATGAAAATGGTGAGGGGTTTTACAGCGGAAACATTATCGGTGATGACAAACGCCTGTCTGTTCCAGTTGTCATTGATGCTCTCCCTTGAATTTGTAGAGTTATTCGTTGTTATGTTTACGCTTGTTTGCCCAGGAAATCCTCACTAAGTCTCAGGAACGCCGGAGAGTCCTGCCAGGTTTTCAACCGAGTAATTTGCGACGTAATTTTTCTCATTCGACAATTTCTGACCGTGACGCCAGCACACAATGGCCGACCCTTGCCAATGACGCCACATGATTTTTGTTGTTTTTAGATCCACTGTGAAGCAGACGGCAAATATGTTACGGTTAATACAGAACTGCAGTAGTATTAACCAGGGCGGCCGCTGGATTGGAGCCGGGAACCTCTGCATCAATCGGCGAATGCGCTGGGCCTTGTTTATAATTACACGGAAGACGGACGACAGCAAGTTGTTCTTTTCTTGGAAAATATGGTCACATTTCTTCTGCGGCGAGGTGGAAAATGTGGCTTGAATTTTGATGTTATTGACCCTTGCAGTTACGACCGCTGACAGTGGCACACCAAGCCAAACATTTCAGAGCGGGCAAAATCAGCTTTCTGACAAACAGTACTGTACCAAGTTATTTCGATCAACAAAGTTCATTGCATGTGAAGTACATTTTTATAATATAATATTCCATAGATCTGAGTTGAAACGTACGTGCGTAAATCTTAATTTATTAATTCATCATCTTTTTACATTCATGAACAAATCTAAAAACATTTTATCAATGACATACAACGGGGCCTGTGCGCCTCTGACCGTTGCAGCAGCCGGTGGCGTTTGCCAGGTTCAAGACCGATTAATTTCGTCGTCTTATTAATAACTAACTCCCCATCCATGCGCGGTTATTAATTCCGTCAAGACGATGGGCCCTGTGTGTGCGAACTGTGAGCACCACAAACAGTCTCCAAGCGAAAATGTAAAAGTCTCTGCGTAGTAATACGGTGTTGAAGGGGGGTAAGCAAGTGTAAGGACGGAGCATAGTGTCCACCTAAACTCTCGCACCAACCCTGACCAGACAGGCAACTGGCCACTAAACCGGCCCTCGCCCTGATCCTAACTGATCCTAACTAATCAACGCCAGCCTTACCAGTGACCCCAATCACGCAACTTTTGAAATAACCAGCCATTAGTCCCAGCCCTCTCATCCACCCTAACTTTTCCTTGAATTAAGCCATCCGTTCATCCACTAATATGTCTCGCGCTGGCCATAACTCCCTACCCCGGGTTCAACTCTGGAACTTTGTCAGAATTCATTTTAAATTTTGTTCGTTTTTCAATGATCTTGGTGTTCACAGCGAATTTCGTGGTACTGGGAGCGGGGGGGGGGCGATTTCGTTTTTGCGTATGCGCTACCCAGAGGGTCCGTGACTGCACGGCACGGCAAGTACTTGATAGTCCATGGGTCAGAGCAGAAATTGGTGCCAGGTCAGGTGGTACAAAGGTCAAAAGATCATCACTGCCATTGATATCGCATTCCCCCCTTCCCATAACTTCGGCCAGTTCTTGTAGAGTTCACCCCTGACCTCAGGTCGTGGGCGGGGAGGGGGTGTCTGGTAGAACACTAAACAGTGACTACTTCTATACAAGTGTTTGTGGTTGGAACGTTGGATCAACGTTGTCCCCACATACCATGTTTGTTGGGAACCTGCTTTTACTAGTTCTGTGACACAAGTGGTCCCGAATCCCTAGCTCCGTATTTCACAGTTCCAGGTCATGAAAGTCCGCCTCGGGTTGTCCAGTCGCAGGTGATGACACAAGCAGTTGGATTCGGTGAGAAATCGGAATGCTCCGGCTCTGGCCTCATCGCACACAGCCCACGCAGTCTTCAAGGGGAACCGATCCGGTGGAGCTCAGCACTGGAGGCTGCCTTTGTGCTCTAATTGTCCATTAGTCCACGTGCATGCGACATTGTCAACTGGGACTGGAAACCCCGAGGTGGACTTTGTAGCCTCCTCAACCCGGAGCCACAATTTCGCACTGCCCTTGAGCCTCGACTTGCCACCATACCCACCTCCCTCTATGATGACGATTGGGGTTGGATGCCAGGCAGAACCACCAAGCGGAAATGTCTGGTCTGGGCTCATGGACTCTAACTCGTGCCCCCCCCCCCCCCCCCCAAGAATATGTAAAATATTTGACATGAAAGGGCGTCTATAATTGTTTTAAAAGACCAGTGCCAGGTTGCCTGTAAATTAAATGTAGTGTGTACAGTAAACATTAATACATGCAAAACGTTGATTAAAAGCGTCAAACTTATTCATGGGGGTTTCTTTCACTTCTTTGAGTTTCGTTCAACAAAAAACGGTGGGCTCTATTTTGTCCGTGAGAACACCTTAGGAACGGCCGTGTTCCGAACAACGGGGCGGACCACCCTTATCGTCTGTCGGTAGGATCATTGTGAAAGCCGCAGCGAGACACACACCACCACCCGTAAAAAGGGCGTCGTGTGTGCGTATGCAAGGGTTTGTTTTTTACACTTAATAAGCACCCACTTTCGTACACGTGCAGACACAATTGGATCTCGGGCTGGGTACACCCGCCCACCCCATTTAGTCACCCCAATTCACCATTGTGCCTCCAATGACACCCAACGTAAATTGGCCACCGGCCAAACACAATCGACGCAGCGCACGAAACGATGTGGTCGAGCAGCTGCCAATTGTTGCGAGGGCCCTTGTTTGTTCGCAGTTACTTTATTTAGCACGCACAGAGAGAGAATTCGTGACACTTTACAACAAAATACACGATAATAGGGGGGGTGGGTGGAGGGGTTGAGGGAGAATTGCAGACGTTAGGTGGAAACGTGGGTTGTTCGCAACCAATGCAGAGTGCGTGACGCGGTGAAGCTCGGGGCAGTTTGAGCGAAACTCCGTCTTGCGTTGATGTTGCATTCAGCCGCGAGGAGTCTCAATTCACCACAGAGGGGAAGGAAGGAGGAGCTTTATCGGACAGAATTTGATCGATACATTGACCACGTATCAAGAACTTATATATTTGTTATCGTCACGATCTTAATTTGTGGTTGACGGGGTGGTCAATGAAAAGACGTTTGGCAGAGAACTTTTACCAAACGTGGCCTAACCCAGAAACAAATGTGGACCATCGCTTTCGTGATGCCCACTCACAATCACGAAGCCATGCGAGGTGTCCTCACATCCAGCTGGTGGGTGGTCACCTATTCCAGGTAAATAGGGGAAAGTGGCCCCATTATCCCTGTACAGGTGTAGCGATTGGTGTTGGGATCCTCGCTTCCCCCTGCTGCAGCCCGCTACCTGTCCAGCATGATTGCATTCGTTGATGAGGAAGTGAACTTTATCTTGTTGTGTCACACTCAGTGCTCTCGCTGGGTACTTTAAACCTGAGCCCTTTGTGCCGAGCACACGTGCATGATTCACGCGTGCATGCACAATACAACAGCCACGTTCGGTCGCCATGTGTCGGACCACAAAGCGTAGTTTGGAAAACATTCCGAACTTGAAGTTACTGCTGATTACACAGATAAAAAAATTAGTGCACGGCGACAGAGGTTAAAAGACATCGTTCAACAAAGTTAGTGCCCTGTATGTACTGTGTAAGGTGTGGTGGACATTGTTGAGCGTTTGGCCA